CCAGGCACCTGGCAACCCTATGAGTTGAGCAATAGTCCATTTGAGAAAATCTCAAACTCCTTGTTCATTAATCGGAAAAGACAGCACACAAGTGCCAGGGTAGAGTTGGAGACCAAGGACATATTCCAGTTGAAGGCCTTATTGTGCAGAAATTAGCTTTCTTGTGTCAAGAGTGTCATCGAAGCTGGTGAGACTACTTGCGTACAGATAGAATGTGTGATAAGGCCTCTAGAGCATGTTTTCCAAAGTCTCCAGTGACGCACAGCAGCGATTAGGTCAGCCCAGTATCTCAAGGCGGGTCGACACACTCTGTTGCTGTAGTTAACTAGGTCTGACTTTACGCTGATTTTAGTTAAATTGGTGCAACTTTGTGTGATGCTTCTGAATTGATTTAGACCTGGCTTATGTCAGTTTTAGCTTGTCAGTAAATTTACCAGTGCATGATAAATAGAGATAACAACTTTCCACAGATACGAGTGTGTCCATTCTGGTTCAACTAAATAGATTTTTAAACTGGTTTGTTTAAACGAGAGCAGTTTTTGATGTGCTGACAAGCTCAAACCTTCCTTGGTAACTATCCCAAGGTCTGTATCAAGAAACAGAATGATACCTCATACTTTTATTATTTTCTCTACTTCTTTATGCAATTAGGAAATCAGTGGTAGAAGTATTGAGCCAAAAAAAATTGTGGCAATATGCAAAACTGTTGTAAAACCTGCCTGGAATTGCAAATAAAGCACAAGAAAGAGAGAGGTGTATGGAAGGATTTTCTTTGCTGGGTTTTCTTACGGGGGGTTGTGGTGTTGAGGAATGTTTCATTTCAAACAAATGCAATTCACCTGGTTTAATAGTTTCTCTTGCCAGCTTTTTAAATTTTGCATTTGTGACTTCAGGGCTCATGTAAGGTCTTGTGTTGACAGCCCTGGAGAATGAAATCTAATTACAGAGCAGGTACAGCATGGAAGTGTCAACTTCTTTTCTAGGACAGGAGGGGAGGGAGTTTGAGAGGGGAGGGAGTTCATTCTGCATGGTCCATTTGGTCCTTGATCTCTCTGGGTATGTCTTCACGGCAGACTTAACCAGGGCTATAGCTCGGGTGTTGCCTCTAGCCCTCATTCCACCCACACAGAAACACCTCTCACATGGACTCCAGGATGCTTTTTGGTGCTGGCAGGCACAGCTGAGGGGAGGTTTCCTTTAACCACAGGCTGATATTCCACCTGCTTTGCTCTGAGAACACTCAGGTGCTGTTAGTCCTCCAGTCTATCCTACAGTTCCACCTGGGCTGCATTTTCTTATCTAAGTCCTCTCTTCTTCTGCACTGCACTTCAGCCCCACATTTGCCGTCTTCATTTCTGCTGCACTTCTACAGCATTTGAACAGAGATGTTACTCAAGAAATCCTTCTCCTGTGCTGCTTGTTGGCCAGAAGTTGGCCCCAGCCTTCTGGTAAAGCTGTGGTGAGCTATCAGTAAGACCCATAAGAGCATTCCTGCACAGGAGCCAAGGAAGGACAGACAAGTTTTGGTACAGTACGCTGTGAATAACTTAATAGAGTATAATGTACCAGTATAATGCACCGCTAAGAACCATGAAATATCCTAGAACTCTATCCCAGCACATGGGCTACTACAGCACTGTTGTGGATGCAGCCACACAGGTGTGGCACAAGTAGTGCTTTGTAGTAGGGATGTTCCCAAGCCTGAGCTAATCTTGCAGTGAAGACATAGCCTTTGAGACGAAGAGGGCCAGTGAGTGCCACTTCTGGATTTTTTTAATGTGGACATTCAACTCTTGGGAACTGGACAGAGACACATGGCACCAGAAACAGCCTCAGATGGTAACAACTTTTAGTCTGCACTTGAATTTGTGAGGTAGAGGTGAAACATACCATTGAAACATTCCATCACCAATTCTTCCTTTTCAGTTGTCTGCTGCAAAACAGTAATATGCTTAAATGATCTTTACCTCCCAACTCACCTGTTCATTTAACTTCATCCTGCAGTGAAGTTGTCATGCTGAATGCAGGTCTGCAAAATTAATTAACAAGCCACAAACTCAGGGCTCCGACTCCTCTGTGGAATCCAGGGCAGGGAAAACTGCGTGATGAAAGGAAAGGCTCTTCTTCAAATACAGAACTTCAATAATCAGCAAGTGCAAACTACAGCCTTATGAAGTTGATTGAGCTCGGCTGGTGTGCATGTTTATCTGTGTGAAAATCCCTTGTTAATATTTATATTTGGATTGTTTACCTATTTTGCCCTTTGTTTCCTGAGGTTGAAAGCAAATAGTTGCTTCCTGATGAGTCTTCCAAGGCTGTTGCTTAAAATATGTGAGCACGCGCCCACCCACCATTGTGGCCTAAGAATTGGGAGGGTTTTTTTTTAATGTGCTCATGAGGAAGTTATTAATTTAAATGCGATTATTTCTCGAGTAAGATTAAGCCTTGTGGAATTAGCATGTCCCTGTAATTAACATGCTAAAAACAGGTCTGTTTGTTTCTCTTTGGGAAATGAATTAAATCAATTACACACCAGTCTCAAGGGTGTGAGGCTTCAATATTATCTCTCTTTTTGTATGAAAATAACAGATTGAAGGATTTTAAATGAGGCACTACAGAAATACTGGTTTTGTTTTAACCCTATTTTATTCAAGGAATCAGAATATTGCTGCCTTTGAGCCAGAAGAAAACCAAAGGGGGAGAGTTTTGCTGAAATATAAACATTTATTATTATTTATTCAGATTTATACCATAAATCTTAGCCAAAACTCTCGGCACGTCTGCCACAAATTACAAACATAAAATTAAGTGACTGCTGTCGGACCCGAATCCCTAACAAACACAGAATTCTCCTTCCCCACACAAATCTCCACCCCATCCTCTGCAGCAGTCCATGCAAATTACTACTTGTAGTGTGCACTGAAGGTAAACAGACCCAGGTTTGTTTCCAGGGCAGGTGGTATGGGGCTCATCTCATGAACCCTTCATGGAAAGTGCTCTTCAGGTTCCTTCCTCTACCGCCTTTTTATTAAATCAAGGGGGAGCCAGCTTTGCCCTGGCGACTTTGGCAGTGTGGCATGAGGAAAGAGGTTATGTCTCAATTAGAAAGATCTCAGGCCGTTTGTGGACTTACAGGCCAAAGCAAACACCTTAAACTCAGTCTGGAAACCGTTAGGCAGCCAGTGCAGACGGCAAAGCAGTGGTGTCACACAGTGCTGCCGAGAAGCACTGCTTTTAAATAGGTCACCATGTTCTGCACCATCTTACATTTCTGGATTGGGTTATGGTGTCAGCACATCTTGGTGTAAATCGCTTCTGTTCTACAGGAATCGGAGTAGAGGAGAGGTTGCCCTGGGTTTGGCCTCATGAGGCCCATGTTGGTAGCATTCCAGGAGACCATGGGCTGCACTGAATTTTTATGAAATGGTGCCAATTGCAGCTGCTTCCATTTCAAGTGTAGACACGTGGTCTGGACACTGCATAGCTTAGCCAGGTTTTTAACAAGCTCCTATTGCAGCTGTCAGACATGGTTTGGAAGCTGTCTGAATTTCTGTCAAGCATGGGGAAGTCTCTCCAGTGAATGGGGTAAATTCTGGAGTGCCATGACCATCTGCTGGGTTGGGTTCCAAACATGAAATTGTGTTGGAATTTCTTCCTGCGGTGTGAAGTGGAGAGAAAAATGACTAGGAGTTCTGTTCAATTACCAGAATTGCTTGGTGATCTGTCGCTACCAGTGCCCCTGTTGCCTTGAGCACCCTTGCTCTTCAAGAATGTGTAATCTAGGCTGTATTTGCACTTAGCTCTGTGGGTAGAATAGTTATTGTTCATTTATATTAACAGTTCTCTTCTGTACGCCTGCTGCTGCCTCTTGTTTTTCACTTTTGGATATTGGAAAATTATGGGGACCATAAAATGAGTAGGGACCATGGAAATGTAAACTACAAGATTATGCGCAGACTGTGTTATGAATCTAAGGAATCAAGCAAGCGACATTAAATTGAGGTCATCTATCTACTCAGGAATGATTTGTGATGGAACCTAAAATAACCATTACAGCAGCTACACAAAATTCATCTTTCTCTGCTTGCAAAGAAGTCTGATTAATAGTTTGTGTTTGCGGCCCTGCTGATACAAAGAAGGTTTGCTGATAGTATGGTGAATCTACTTCTTCAGTATACTTGTCTCCTGATTAGAGTTCCGCCTCGCAAACTTCATTGAACAAATGGCTTAATTGTTGGGTTTTTTAGTCTGGTTCTAGGATAAATTACCATGAGGATAATTTTCTAGTGAAAAAGCTGTTCAAATTAACGTACTCAATGAAAAATTATAGATGGATGCAGTGGTGGAGGAAAACTTTTGTAGTTTCGATTGTGAATTGTTTGGGGCATGCTTGTTTTGCATGCAGCATCTAGCACAGGAGGACCATGATCCTTGATTTGGGCCTCTAGGCACTACTGCGTTTTAAATAATACAAACTGATTTGGACGCTACAACAGATATTTGATAGCACTAATATGTTTTGGAGAATCTGGAGTACTTTTGACCTTCATTTTTGTGTGATGAAGTATTTTGGAAAGATTTTGACCAATGAAAATAAAGTCATTTGACACTGTTTACAAGATTTCAACAATAACGGACCTAATCTAATCAGATCTAACTTAGATTGTAATATTTTTGGAGCAGGGAACCCTGTCTGTGTTTGAAAAGCTTCATGGACATATATGGCATCATACTAGTAATAAATCAAGATTCATAAAGTTATTGCCAGATCCATTAACCCCTGATCACTCTAGTAGTATCCAATGACCATCGTAAAATAAGATTCTCTATCAGATTTTGCAATTTCTTATTAAAGGTTAGCAAGCCTGATTTTTTTTAAATAAATGAAAAATGGTCTTATAAAATTGGAGCTAAACTATTGCCTTTTCTCCCCCTTCTTTCTTTCTTTATTTTTCTTAAAAAAAAAAATAAAAAAAAAAATCCTTTCATCCTTTTCCCAGGAATTCTCATCGAGTACGGAAAGTGTTGATAAATCATTCTGTTCCGTAAGTTTGGCCAGTTTTGTTCAAGTGGCTGGGTTGCCTCGCTTCCTTATTTTACAGCAGCATTTCCTCTGTGTCCTGAAATACTAATCTCTGGTCACCTGGCAGTGGCCCTTAAACAGCTCTGATGTTAAGCCACTCCATGTAGAACACTGCATTGCAAGAGCATTTCTATGCCAGCATTTTATGCCCAGTGCATGCATTCTATTGGCTGAGTCCTCTTGAGCTGTAGCAAAGTTCTGCTATCCTGTCTTATGCAGAGGCAAAACAGAGAAGTTGATAACATTTTGATCTGAACACAAGGATAACATTTGTCCAGTTTATGCTTTTCAATAGCCTTCAGTGAAATACAAGTTAAACAGAGCTTTGGGAAATTTTGTTTGTACAATTTTGACTAAAGCAAACAAGAAGTCATGAGGGGGCCTGCAAGTTAGATATTGTATCTTGTCAATAAATACCCATCTATGGAGATATAAAAAATTGCATTTAAAAAGAAATTAAAGCTTTAACGCAGGTGAATAACCCTGGCTGATAATACGAATTCTGAATACTCATTCAAACCCGTCTGTGTGTGTTCTCCCCTCTAGTTAGAGGAAATGCTGTTTCCTTAAATTTTCTTACAAGTTGTCTGCCAGATGGGATTTAATTTGCTTTTTCCACAAAAATCAGTTTTCTGTCTGATGAAATTACTTTAGATCAAAACTGATGTTCCCTAATAACTCTTCTCTTGTTATGAAACATTTTTCATTTTTAATCAAGGGCATCTCTCTTCAATTTGTACCATTTTCCTAACAGTGCACATTCTCACTTTGGGATTCCTAATTGGCTTCCCATGTATTGAATATGTAGTCCATGATCAAAAATCACTTATTGAGAGCTGTGGGGTTTGTCTTTTTAATATAATTATTTACTGTGTCTTACATACCATTTTGTTAGTCAAATAAGTTGAATTCCTCCTGTGTAAATGAGCTCTTGCAAATGTGTACCTGACTCTGTCTTGCTCCTCTAATGAGTAGATTTGAAGTCTTATCGTGTTTTAGGATTATTTCCACAGATTATTTCACTATGTGAAACAGTAAGAAAAGGATGGTAAATGAAACCTTACAGTGGGCTCATAAAGTGACTCAATGCTGTTCTCGTACAACCAGTTTAGAAGCAACACACTGAAGAGGGTTGGCATTTATTGATATAGTCAGCCAACCTTAAAATATTTGCCAAGGGTGATAGGGTGTTCTCAAAGAGGCAATGCATGCTAGTGGTTAGAGAAGAGGTGGCTGGGAGCCAGGACTCCTGGGTTCGGTTCCTAGATCTGCCACTGTATTGCTGCATGACCTTGGGTCGCTACATTTTTCTATTCCTTATTTTTTGATAAAAAGAGGATAATACTGTGACAGGTTCAGTGACAGAGATCCCTTTGGGACTGTGACCTGATGTGCTGAAATTACCTCTGAGCCCATTTTCCCTGCCAGCTTGGGACTCCAGAACCCTGCTTTGTTGAGCCACACACTCTAGCCTGCTGCAACACAGGCCCAGGGTCCGGGACACACCCCCAACACTGCAGACCTTAACTAAAAACAGCTCACCAGGTTACCTGTCTCCAGCACCCAGACACCCAGCTCCCAATGGGATCCAAACCCCAAATAAATCTGTTTTACCCTGTATAAAGCTTATACAGGGTAAATTTGTAAATTGTTCGCCCTCTATATCACTGATAGAGAGATATGCACAGCTGTTTGCACCCCCAGGTATTAATCACTTACTCTGGGTTTATTAAGTATAAAAAGCAGGATTTAAGTGGTTTCAAGTAATAACAGCCAGAACAAAGTAAGTCACAAAGCAAAATAAAACAAAACACGCAAGTCTAAGCCTAATACTTGAAGAAACTGATTACAGGTAATATCTCACTCTCAGAGATATTCCAATAAGCTTCTTTCACAGACTAGACTCCTTCCTAGTCTGGGCCCAATCCTTTCCCCGGTACAGTCTTTGTTAGATCCAGCAGACATCTCAAGTGGTAAGCAGGGGATTTATCATGACTGGCTGCCACCTTTGTCCTTCTCCACCCCCTTTTATAGCTTTGGCGTAAGGCGGGAATCTTTTGTCTCTCTGGGTCCCCACCCCTCCTTCTAAATGGAAAAGTACCAGATTTAAGATGGATTTCATTTACAGGTGACATGGTCACATGTCACTGTAAGACCCCTAGTCTCCATTCCCCATGGGCTGGCCCAACCGTACACAGGAAGTCTTTCAAGTAATTAGGGCCATTTACAACTGATTGTTTCTGGAGCACCCTTAATGGCCTCCACATCTGATGAAGTGAGCTGTAGCTCACGAAAGCTCATGCTCAAATAAATTGGTTAGTCTCTAAGGTGCCACAAGTACTCCTTTTCTTTTTGCGAATACAGACTAACACGGCTGTTCCTCTGAAACCTCCACTTAATACGTTTACATCAGTGACCCAAGTTTATATCTTATTCTCCTAACTCTAGATATAGAAATAGTACATGCAAACAAATGGGATGAACACACTTAGTAGATTACAAGTTTTTTAATAAAAAGAAGAGGAGGACTTGTGGCACCTTAGAGACTAACAAATTTGTTTGAGCATAAGCTTTCGTGAGCTACAGCTCACTTCATCGGATGCATTCAGTGGAAAATACAGTGAAGTTTTTTCATGACACCATACAAGGGTTATTTAGCTTAAAGCATATTCCAGTTATGTCATATTCATAGCATACTTCCTTAAAGCATATGGAGTGCAACGTCACAAATACTTAAATACCTCCAGAGGGTTGTTGGGAAGGTTTAATGTTTGTAAAATGCCTTCAGACCCTTGGATAGAAGGGGCAGTAGAAGAGCAAAAAAAAAATCTATATTTTATAGCGATAGTTGTTACCTTCATATCAGTGATTTCAGTTTTATAGTTCTCACATCAATGTTGCCTAAAGCGTGTGAGATCCACTTACAATTTAAATGCCTGTTCTGTAACCTGAAGGGACTCTGTGTGGTGTTGGCTTCTGCCTTTTTCCCTCAGGAGAGAAATCTATTCTTCAGGCTTCACTAACCATGGTTATTCATGTCATGCTTGAACATGGCAGACTTTTATTGTAGCCAATCAGACTCTGCAAACATTTATGTCCTATTTATAAACCAGCTGCAGACACCTATGCCTAGCTAAATTGCTTAGGTTTTTATACACATGCACATGTATGAGATATGTGGTATTCCTCATAATTAACACTTTTAATCTTGAAACCCAGTGGCAGCGTACAGTTAGCTGGAAGAGTCTAGATGCCCTGTAGAACATCCGTTCTAGTCTATGCATCATTGCTCTGTTTCTGTAAAGACCTACAGCCTGCTTCTTGTGCTACACACCGTCTTTAACTATTGTCTAGCTTTCAGTGCATCAGGTAAGAGTCTCTACCAGTTTAGTAGTGGAAGTGAAAGAACATGTAAGAGATGCTGAGAAACCGGATATAAATGAGATTCTGCTGTGTATCGCTCCGAGACAGCACCTGTGGTGTTGCTAATTTCTGGCACCAGAAAGATATAAACTGAAGGGAGCTCAGAAAAAAGCAAAGAAATGTGGTGAGGGAGACAGGAGGGGGATTGAATTGAGGAAAGACTAAGCGTGAAGTCTGTATAGCCTGGCTAAGTGGGAGCATAGCAATCTACAAATGTTTTAATACACATGCCAAGCAGCGCGAGAGAGGAATTGCTTACAGTGGACAGGATGGGGATGATATTGGAGACAAGGAAAATATAGATTGAACGTCAGGAGATGCTTTTTGACAATAAGATCTCTTAGATTGTGGAACATAAGGCCATACTGGGTCAGACCAAAGGTCCATCTAGCCCAGTATCCTGTCTTCTAACAGTGGCCAGTGCCAGGTGCCCCAAAGGGAAGTGGGGAGACCCTCCACTGCTTGGGACACGAAAACTAAACTGGGCAAAAGCCCTGGGGAACGGTCAGCCTTCTGTGCCGGCTGAGAGGCTGGAGTAGATAATACTTATGTGAAATTAAAGATGAAAATGACCTACGATTCCATAGGAAAGGCACATGCTTATGAGAGGACAGTTGCTGGAGAAGGTGACCCAAGCACTGCTCCCCAAACCACTCATCCTAACTCCTGAGCAGACCACAGGGCTTGCTCCAGATCAAACCAAAATCACGCTCCCACCCTCACACACACACCACCTGAGCATAGCAAATGCCTTGTTCTGATCGCTGCAAGATAGTGTACTGAGTGACCTTAGGATGCCAGTTATCTGGGCTGTGTTCATAATCGGAGTAAGTTATTCAGCAGCATCCAGACCTAAAATGTCATGGTTTAACTTAGATTTTTTTTTTTAGGGGACGGAATGATTTTAAAACATCACCAGTTAAATGTGGTGCTGTAGTATCAAGTAAGTGTTTATATTGGCCCAGAGAGTGCTAGAGTGATACTTAACTATGCTGAGAACCTGAATGAAGGAATAAGGTTTCACTTCCACCTCTCTCTGCTTGGCCTCAGAAGTTAGTTTAATGTCATGATCCCATGTAAGGTAAGCTTACTGTTAATTTTCTAATGCTGAAATGCAGGTCTGCATTGGCTTAATTCAATCTGTCGGACCTTTCTGGGGTTCAGTGTCTGTTATATAGAGACATAGCTTAAGGTTGCTGGTACCATTCAAGGTCAGTGACTGTGGATCCAACTGGGTGTTTACATTTTCCAAAATGGCCTCTGTAACAGGACTCAAGGTGGAGATTAATTTTCCGTACTGTGTTGGCACCTCAGCAGAAGAACAAAGTATATCTCAATGAGCTGCTTGGCACGCAGGAACTTAGCAACAATAAACAATAGGGAGGCCATTTCCTGGCAGTTCACGACTGACTGGAGGAGTAGAGGGCCTGAGGTGTCTCCAGAGGTCCATAATCCAGACAAACTTCCAGGAAATGTCTATGCAGTGTTGTTGTAGCTGTGTTGGACTCAGGACATTAGAGAGACAAGGTTGGGGAGGTAATATCTTTTATTGGACCTACTTCTGTTGGCAAGAGAGACAAGCTTTCAGGCTTATGTGGAGCTCTTCTAGTGAGAGCCTAGAACTTCTGAGTTCTGCTCCTGTCTGACAGTATCTTTGTGCAAGTCACTTCCCTTCTCTCACTCTGCTTCCCTCTTCCTAAAACAGGGATGATGATATGTAACTTTGTAAATGCTTTGAGCTATAGATAAAAAGTGATTTAAGTGCCAAGCATTAGCTCACTTGAGGGGCTGGGAAGCTTAATTGGTTAATGTTTACGAAGCATGTTGTCAAGGAGAAACGTATGAATGAGAAGTATTAAACCATTAAACAGTTAAAAACCAAGAGAATATAGGATGTTGAAGTGATGAGCTGAATTGTGCGTTGCCCTAGATGTATGTACCAGTGCTCTCTTCCTAGCAGATCAAGATTTGGACAGTCCCCTTGAGGAAAGCAGGGTTTCACTCTTAGCTTGCTGTTATGTTTATGCCTCTGAGTTCCATTCATTAATTATCCTATTGGACACAATCATAAATCACTATTGCAGTAACTAGGCTTTATTGAATATCTCAGTAGCGTGTGCAATGCATGAAAGTTTCAATATCCATAAATTATGCTGCTTGATTTTTGTATGTGAAATTATCAGATGCGCACACACCAAAGATGAAAATTGACTTGAGCCATGAGGCACAACAAACTTTAAAACAGGAGCAATAATCATAATAAGCAATTGCAGCATTTTGGGGTTTTGGTTGAAAGAGCCCAGAAGATTCTGTGGGAAAAGTGGATGGATTCAGTGTCATGGATACTTCTGGAGGGTCAGAATATTTGTTTTTAACCAGTTTGCAGCTAGCCCTGCAGTGAGTATGTTAGCATCAGTGTGGTGGTCAGGAACAAGAAGGAACTGAGTTATCAGAAGTGTGGAGAGGTAGTTTCTGTATAGTGGACAATGAAATCAGGATGCCAGTCTGAAAGGTAACATACAGACAGGGCGGTTCTACTTTGGATGGGGATTGTTAAAATAGAAGATGGGAGCTACATGATGTAGTTCAGATGTGTGTATGCTAAAGGACCGAACATCGGATGGCGCAGGGTTTTTAAACATTCATTCTATGGCTGGTGGTTGCAATTGATCATGCTGCCGTGGATGCTATGCAAACATTTCCTCCTATCGCAAGGACACCTACGCTTTCTTAGCCAGCGTAGCTTAGTGAGGGAAAGCTGCTGTCTTCAGGAGGGTGACTATTGACTGCTTTATAGAGTCAGGTGCTACACTTACATGGAAGCATGGAAGCTTTTTGATGTGGACTACAGACAAAAACTAAACCCCTCTGCTCTTACAGAGGATGGAAAAGGACATTAATGTTAACTAGATGGCTACTTTTCTTTTTTACCAACTTCACTTAGTCTTTCATAGGTGTTCTGTTATAAATAATTTTTCCTTTGCTCTCTTTGCCCATGCTACATAGCTTTTGCATGTGCATTTCTAGCATGATCGGTGATGGGGGCACTTCACAGCTTTTAATTCTTTGTCTTTAATGGCAAAATTCAACTATAAACTTCTACCATTTCAAGTTACAGTTCTGCTGCTCAAAATGAGTAGAACAATGTTTAACCTGTAAAATACAGCAGCCACATTCACAAATATGTTAATGGTTAAAAGCTTTAAGCTGCACTTTAAGCTTGAGGTTTAATCCCACCATAAAATGGTCAGAATTCTGAGAAATATTCCCCAGATTTTGACTGAAAAAAACAACCCAACCTTGACAAAGTAACTGTGTGAGGCTGGTAGAATTAGAGAAAAAGATCTGGGCTCCCTCTAATGGCTCTCTAGGAGTAGAGACTTTACACTGTTGCCAGACGTGTGGTGTTGCACAGATAGATGAGTAAGTGAACAAAAATAACCATGTTAAGTCAGCACCACAATGGGATTGTGGTGCGAAGATTTTTATCCCAGTGGAAATGGCCAGTTTCAAGGTGAGTGAAATGCTCTAGGGAGGTTTTTGTGTTCAGTATACATACTTTTTTGGTGTCCTGTTTTACAGATGATCACCTACTCCTTATATTCACAAGAGCATCAGACAGGTAGTAGAAGCTTCTCTTCCGTGTGCAGTTTATCCCAACAATTTCAGACTGACTCCTAATTGTAGAACTGTGGGTTCTTACGCACACAACTGTTGCCTTGTAACTCTCTTCTCCCACTTCCTTAAAACATTTTAGCCTGTCAGACTTGCCCCAGAGAGAGAATTCATCAAATCCCTGATGGCCATTGGAAAGAGACTAGCCATTTTGCCCACCAAAGAGCAGAAGACTCAGCGTCTTATCTCGGAGCTGTCTTTACTTAACCATAAGCTTCCGGCACGCATCTGGCTTCCCACAGCTGGCTTTGACCATCATGTGGTGCGGGTGCCCCACACGCAGGCGGTGGTGCTCAACTCCAAGGACAAGGTAAGAGTGGCCGAGCAAGGAAGATTAGTTCTCTTGAAGCATTGTAAGATTAGCACTTCCCTTAAAAGCTGACTTCAGAGAACCCAACATTAAGAACGTAGCTCACTGCAGCTTCTGGATATTAAGCTAAATAAATAATAATTCACCTTCTCTTAACCAGTCATGAATAAGATTCACCTGGCAGGGTCTGTCGTCACCATATGGTACAGAGATGTAGCAGGTAGAGCAGCACATAGCAGGCTTCCCTGCTGTCATTCTCTGGGCTGCATCACTTGAGAAGGTCAAGGACTCAAGAGACCTAGGAAGAGGAGTCCATGCAAGGGTAGCTGGGAGGGGAGAGTCCAGAGAAGGCTTGAGCGAGAGGAAGTTTCCCCAAAGCTTTCTAATGTTGGGTTTGAAATGTTCCTGGATTCATGTCCCTCTTGGCCACTTTCAAACCCTAGCAACAGCCCTTCAGAAAAAGGGCCAAGTTTAATGGTGGCGTGTGGTTTCAGTGCTGTGTGATAAGGACTGGATTTCAAAGGTGCTGAGCAGCATAACTCCTGTGGAAATAAATGGGACCTGCAGGCATTCAGCATCTGAAAATCCAGCCCAATAATGTCAGCAAAATCGACCAAAGATATTAGGGTAACATTCTTACCTGGGTTATATGTGAGCTACTGGCATCTGGGGCAGAATACAAGGCTACTCTTTTAACGGGTTGTTTCTGCATGGCTTTGAGCTCTCTGGCTCTGATCTTAAGCACACAAGTGCTCCCATTAACTCCAGTGACACTACTCACATGCTTCAAGTTAAGCGTGTACCGATGTGCTTTGCGAGATCAGTGCCAAAATGCTCAGTACCTTGCAGGATTGAGCCCTCCAAGCTCAACGTTTTTTCTTCTGGTGATTGTAAGTTAGTTTTGCATTGATGTGAATGTTACTGATGTCTCTTAAACATCAGAGTAAAATATGCACTTTGGTGCTACTCAAGGTAATTAGCATTTGACCCTAAGCCGGCCTTGTTCCATTTACCTTACTCTGAGCACATGTCCTTGTGCATTAAACAAGCTGAGATACTTCTGGCTTTAAGATATTGCGATATTATTTTATTAGATCCTCTGATTTTCAGTATCAATACAAATGACTATAAACCCCTTCCTTCATTCCTTCTTCATCTGGAATGTAAATTAAAGGTATATTTATTAGTTACATACTTTAATCGCCTACCAGTCATGGTACCCCTGAAAATTTTGGAGAGAGCAGCAGGATCTAGGACTCAGAGTCAGGAACTCCCAAATGTGGCACTAACTTGGTTTGTGACACACAAACCTCTGTTTTCCCATTTGTAAAAAGATTTAGCTGATCCCCAGTGTATTTGGAAGACAGCGATTATTATTAGTCACAGAATTATGGTAGGAAGTATGAGCCCTAGTCCTGGACCAAGACTGAGGAACAGGGACCAATCTAAGGATCAGATGAGAGAGCAGGTAGATTGATTCATGTTCAGGGTGGTTTGATGATGGAACGGCTAGGTACTGGCCAGTGTTAAAAGTGAACTGCAAAGCAAGAGAGAAATGAAGGACTCAAACCCTGGCCAGTGTAAGTTGTGTAGCCCTGTGTCAGTGACATTTGTTTCCGCTTCCCTCAGGCTCCCTATTTAATCTACGTTGAAGTACTTGAATGTGAAAATTTTGACACCACTAATGTGCCAGCCCGGATCCCAGAGAACCGCATCCGGACCACGAGGTCTGTGGAGAACCTGCCAGAATGTGGGATCACTCATGAGCAGAGGGCCAGCAGCTTCACAACTGTTCCCAACTATGACAACGATGATGAAGCCTGGTCTGTGGATGATATTGGGGAACTGCAGGTGGAGGTGAGGCAGCCAAACTCCCCGTCACTAAGACTAGAAACCCAATGGGGAAAATGAGTCCCAGCCATAGAACTGTGTTCCCTGTTATAAGGAAGAGGGGACATATGGTGCAGTCTGTTCTCAGAGGGACCTCCCCATCTCAGCCGGCTCCTGTTTTGGTGACTCCTTGCAGCCAAGGAGGCCTGGATGCTGTTCTCTGTGGAATATGCTACCAACATTGAGAGCAGCCAGAGCGGAGTCGCTTGAGTGGAATGCACAAGGGTTTGCCTCTTTGCCATGCTCAGCATGATGCCTCTACAGCTTTGTCTGTAATGTCTTACTCCTTCCCTTTTGGCATGTCCCGCAGTGAGAGAGCACTGAGCTAGCTGCAGCTCAGAGCTAGCTGGTGAACAAGGGGCTTCCCAACCGTGATCGTGGTAGGAGTAGCTGCCTGGCTTGTAAAGGAAAGATGTGTGCAAGAGAATTTCTCTTGTGAGCAGCCTCTTGTGCATTGAAAGCGTTTGTACAATGCAGCACATCCCAGGCACTGAGTGTAAACCGCAATGTGAAATCTGCATCCTAACACATTAAAATGCCTTGGCTTGGAGATCAAAATAGCAAGCCTGCCTGGAGCCCCGGATTCAAATCTTGGCAGGAGAAACTCAGTCATTCATCCCACCAAGGTAGATAATCGAGTGCTGTGCAGTTCACTCTGTGCCTGTTCTTCTCTTTTGGATGAGACCTTAAAAATTGGGCCTGTCTGCTCTGCATGGCTATTAGGTCCAATGGGACGCTTCTCATAGCCAGGGTTCGCCCTGCTGTTGGACAGTGTGTAAGCTCACCTCCTTCATCCTAGAAGTGGCTTCATTTCAGTGGCTCTGAACGTGATTAATGGATCATTTGGACTGAAAGGTTTATAAATATAACATTTTATCATTTTGCACTAAGGAGAACACTGAGACTTTCTAGTCTGTAACTCAGTCTTGTGTCTCTTTCCAGCTTCCAGAGATGCACACCAACAGCTGTGACAATATTTCCCAGTTCTCCGTGGACAGCATCACCAGCCAAGAGAGCAAAGAGCCTGTGTTCATAGCAGCTGGTGATATTAGGTAACAGTGAGCTTACGTTGTGGGTGGGAGATTTCCCTTACTGTAAAGACCGCAGAGCTGGAGATGGGTTTCACTGTCTTTATTTAAAACAAGCCTTTGTGTTGGGTGGGGAAGAGTAACACCAGGTATCTCCATTAAAATCTCTGGTGAAAAAGCCCATTAGTCAGTACTCCTCATCTTTCTCACTAGGCCTGAGCATCAGGTGCCCTGTATGTTCCTGGACTGGAGGCAGGTGTGGGCTAAGTAGTGGCTGGGTGTAATGGGATGTGCAGTATGAATTAATTCCAAAGCCTCTTCTAAAGAGATGCACTTATTAGCTGGGTAGTGGGTTCTCTTTCACTTAAGCAAAGCTCAGTGTCAGGTCTGAGTATCTTTGAAAACTAGGAGCAAGACCAAAGTCAAAAGGTCAGTTCTTCATCAGGTGAGTCAACTGACCAGTTAGTAGCCATTTGGTGATATATGTGTGGCGTGAGCATGCATGTTACAACAGATCTGAGATCTCGGAAGCTAAATAGGCTTAGGCAAGGTCAGTACTTGAATGCACGATCTCCAAGGGAAACATGAAGTACTACAAGAGCTGGAATTGATGGAGTTCTTCTTTTGAGAGAGCAGCCTCTTAGCTCGCGTTAGGGGGTGCAGCGTTGCTGAAAATTGACTCACTTGAATGAGACTGAAGACTGCGGTTCTGTCCATGTGTGGTCCCAAAGACTTAGTGGTGTAAGCGCTATTTTCCTAATTTGAAGGAGTAAATTCAGCTCATGGAAAATCAACCTCTGCTGTTTCCGTTAGATACAGCATTCTTCTTCATCCCCTACCTTAAATTGTTGTTTAACAGTGCAACAACTCTACACAGATGTTATGTTCCACCCCAAAATGGGGTTTGCAGGTCAGTGATGGGTGACGTGATCCCTAACAATACAAGCTTGTAAGTGCTTTGAGCTAACGTGGGTATGATGGCATTGGATTGTCACTGAAACCTCTCTTTTGGGGAAAGCAGACTTGTGTTTTTAATGACTTTACTTTCTAGACGGCGCCTCTCAGAGCAGCTTGCACACACCCCGACAGCTTTCAGGAGAGACCCTGAGGATCCGTCTGCTGTTGCCCTGAAGGAGCCCTGGCAGGAGAAAGTCAGGTATGAGTGAAGGAGGTGGGGTACATGGGAAAGCTGAATTGCCCCCATTCCTGTAATAGGTCCGTGTTGAAATCCCAGCTTCGTCTCTGTGGAATAGCTTCCCTTGTGGCTGCCTGTGCTGATTTGCTCTGTAAGTAAATGTGGAGCCTCAGCTTTGGGTGCTGATTGCCTTTAGGGAGCAAATATTGACTCAGATTCAATATTTCCAAAACAAAAGGTCTCCATACACAGCAGTGATTAATTTAGGCTCTGTGTTCCAGGGTGCTCTGAGTCCCGCAAGTTTGGTGCTTGGCTTATTCTTTTGGAGGGGGTACGATTGTGGATGGGAGGGGAAGTGATAGAAAAGCTCCTTATTTCCTTCCAGTGCTGCTTAATTCCTCCTGCTGTACAGTTTGGCATCTTCTCTGCTTGTTTAACACTTATCTATGGCACTTTTGTCAACGCTGTATAAACATAATAAACGACTGTCCCGGCTCCAAGAACTGACAGTCCTAAAGCCCCAAGTCAACAAAATACTGAAGACTATCCCTGTTTAGCAAAGCATTTAAGCACATGCTAGCAGTGAAAGAGAAACATCCTGAGTCTAGAAATTCTTGAATCAAAATCCACCTCTTGGTACTGCCTTATAGCTGCTGTCTTGTTACTATGCTGTTGTGCTAGGCTCTTTCCAGAAATGCCCTGAAGGAGGCAGAGGCTCTCCTCTCTCTTTAACTCTTTGTGATTTCCCCACAGGCGGATCAGGGAAGGCTCCCCTTATGGCCATCTTCCAAACTGGCGCCTCCTCTCGGTGATTGTCAAATGCGGAGATGACCTCAGGCAAGAGTTGCTAGCATTCCAGGTCCTTAAACAACTGCAGGTAGGAAAGAGCAAGACACCTCCCACTAGTGCTGTGGGTCCGTAAACGCAGCCCATTGGTGCGTTTGACTCACAACTCTCTCTTTCTCTTTCAGTCTATTTGGGAGCAGGAACGCGTGCCCTTGTGGATCAAGCCATACAAAATCCTCGTCATCTCCGCAGACAGCGGCATGATCGAGCCGGTCGTCAACGCAGTGTCCATCCACCAAGTCAAGAAACAATCCCAGCTCTCGCTGCTGGACTACTTCCTCCAGGAGCATGGCAACTACACGACCGAAGCATTTCTGACGGCCCAGAGGAATTTTGTGCAGAGCTGTGCTGGATACTGCCTGGTGTGCTACCTGCTACAGGTCAAAGACAGGTGGGCCCTGTGTGTTGGAGTGAAGAGGCTGTAGTCTGAGCAGAAAGAATTTCCTTGCCCACCGGGCCTTGGGACCAACCACTGGGGGGCGGCAATCAGGGAATTACTGTCTTGAGTCTTGCCCCTTAGAGAAGTGTATTAAACCCCCCAAAGGGGGTAGTAAGGTTTCCAAAATTGCATCCATTACTCAAGATGCCACTTACCTCATTCCGTGTCTTCCCCACCAGCAGGGAATCCCTGAGAGCAGAGGCATCCTCTCATGGTGCTTGCTGGGGAATCAGAACAGTGGGAAGTGGCTGGTGTATGACCATAGGGGAACCTGAAATTTGAGTAGTGGGAGTTCGTTTGTGTTGAAGCCATGCTGCTTGGAGCATTTGCTGTGTAATTGCAGGGCTGTTTTGTAAGCAATAAACCCTCATATGTGTACCTAGTTAAAATGTTATTTTTTGGTAGTGTTGTACAAGAGGCAGAGAAAAGAGGCAAGCAGAGAAAATTTGCAGCCCCGTGTGCACTTGGCATTAACAGGAGATGCTGCTGGCTTAAACTGAAGCCAGTACCTATTTGCTTTGTCAGTGCTCAAGCAGTTGCTCCTCCGCATTGGGTGAGGACTTCATAGCTCTTTACTCTGTGGGTGCGTGATTCTCCGGCTCCAAGTGACTGGGAGGGAGATGGCGTCTGAAATATGAGCTTGTTGACAGTTTTCTCTCTCGTTCTCTTTCCCCTTCAAGGCACAATGGCAATATATTGCTGGATGCAGATGGACACATCATCCATATAGATTTTGGGTTCATTCTCTCCAGCTCCCCCAGGAACCTTGGCTTCGAGACGTCTGCCTTCAAGCTCACGTCGGAGTTCGTTGATGTAAGTGAGCTATAGCTAAATTCTGCCAGGAAGGGAAAGGGTCTTGTGGTTTGAGGCACAAGATCAGGAGCCAGGAAACCTGAGTTCTGTTTCCAGATTTGGAAGGGAGTGTGGTCTAGTGATTAGAGCAGGGGACTGGCACACCAGACTCTTGGGTTCTCTTCCATACACACTTTCTCTCTGATCTTGGACAAATCCCTTCTTCTCTGTGTATCAGTTTCCCCATTTGTACAAGAGGGATGATCCCTATTTCTTGGTGAAGAGTAGTTATGAGAATTGTAATTGATTTCTGCTAAGTATTCAAATGAGGGGCATTATAGAAGAGTTAATTCTTATTCCTAAAGAACTCTCAGATCCTAGGAAGAAAGTTGATATAGAAGAGCAAAGTCTTACCATAAAATTAGATCCTTCAAATAAATGTGCCTTTTAAATAATTCCTGGTGTGCTTTTCCAGCTGTCTTTGCTGGCAGGGCTGCTGTTGGAATTTCCTCTCTACGGAACGCTTTTGGCATGTCACTAGAACCCGTGCTCACTGTCTGATCTGCTTTCCAGGTCATGGGCGGTCTGGATGGTGATATGTTTAACTACTACAAGATGCTGATGCTGCAAGGCCTCATCGCTGCCCGAAAGCACATGGATAAAGTCGTCCAGATTGTGGAGATAATGCAGCAAGGTATGGCACTGCTTTCCAGCCTCATGGCTCCAACCTGCTCTTACACTTGACAGGATACATATGGGCATTTCACACACCTGTGCTGGGAAAGGGGAGACAGCTGTGACTAGATGCAGAATTTTGCTCCCTGTCTCTGCCCTCCAGATGGTCTTTCTTTTCATTGCGCAGCATTGGGCAAGTGTTCCCAAACAGAAGACGGACATGAAACACCACATGAAAATCTGGCAGTTCTGACGATATTAGTCTCTGGGATCTTCGTGCAAGATCCACATCGGCTGCATGATGCATCCGCATAAGACCATTTGAATTGTAGCGATTTGAATATAAAGGATGGATGGAGGAGGTTTTGTGTAATGGTGAGAGCAGGGGATTGCGACTCAGGTCACCTGGATTCTGTTCTCCGCTCTCCCACTCACTCTGCGTGACTTTGAAAGAGTCATTTAGGGGCCTGATTTTCAGAAGTGCTGAGCAGCACCTGTGAGTCCAGCTTAGGTCAATGGGAGCAGCAAGTGCTGTGACTTAAATTTTCCCTTAAGTGGGATCCCTGCCTCTCTGAAGGTGTTGTGGGGATTAGAGTATAGAAAGCTCTTTAAGCTCCTGTGAGGAAAAGAACTAGAGGAGAATTATCATGACACTCCTGAAAGCATTGCATAGAACTAAGCATTCAGTCAAATTGCTAATGCTGGGAAACTGTAGCATGCTTTGATCCTATCTCATTCTGTGTATGTTGTCTAACTCCTATTTAACTACTGTGTGTGTGTGTGGGTTCTATGGAAAGATAAATAGGTTTGGCAGGACCGAGCTTCTGAAGAGCAGGCATCTCGCTTGCTGATCTTGACTCCTTTATTTAAAATGTAATTTGCAACGTTGCCTGCGATGGGGAAAATTGTTTGCCAATCATAATGCTCCTGCGGACACTTGAAGTGTGGAGAGAAGCAAGCCAATAACTGAGTGTGTGTCAGTTTGTCCTCTAGATTGCCAGAGATGTTACGGAGAAAGTCAGCAGAGCCAGGTCCATACGGTAGCGCAGGTCATCTGTGAGTGTCAGGAAGCAGAATAGAACATTCACAGATAAGTTTTCTATTGTATGAGATCTTAAAGGGGCTAGCAGCCCAGTGCTCCCCAACTAGTAGCGTATGTACGGGGACTGGCACTCCGAGCTCCCCCCACCCAATCCTCATGAGGGGAACCTCTGTGCAAGGACGGGGGTGGCACTGCTGCCTGCCCTCCATCTAGCTGTGCATGTTCAAACCTGCCATGGGGCTTTGCTTTTTCTTGCATGCACCAGGCAAGGTCCGAGCACAGTGGCAGGTTAGAGCAGCCCCAGTTGCGTGGGATGGGGTAGGCATTGGCTGGGACAGCTGAGATCTTAGTCTGATAAATGTTCCACTTTATCAACCTCACTGCAGCAGAATTATATTCACTACATTCCCCTTACAGGGCCAGGGAAACTGTCCCTAACGCAAGCATTCAGGGGTTGCATCACCAAACTACAGCTTTGCAGCTGGGATCCTATGGTCAGGTCGTCTAATGGTTAGAGCAGAGAGTATTGGGAATCTGGGTTCTGTTGCCAGCCTGGTCATAAGAGCAGAGGGAAAAGGAAATCAAAAATGTTGTAGATATTGTAACTTTATTTCCCTACTATACTATAACACGCTTAGCTACCTAAGTTAGAGGAGTGGAAATAACCATCCAATTTTATACCATGGCACAGTGTAAGGTTGCACCTAGCTGTAAGTGAATTGGGTCTGTTCCCCTTTAAAATTACACAGAGGGCAATAACCAGTCTATTTACCGTATATACTCATTCATTAGTCGTTTATAAGCCAACACCCCAAGATGGATAGGTAAAAATAGTAAAAACTGAATGACCTTTTCATAAGCCGACCCTATATTTTAGGGGGTGGCAAACTTCGGCTCCTGGCCCATCAGGGTAAGCCGCTGGCGGGTTGGGACGTTTTGTTTACCTGGAGTGTTCACAGGCACGGAGTCCCTCAGCTCCCTGTGGCCACGGTTTGCCATTCCCAGCCAATGAGAGCTGCGAACGCATATCCCGCAACTCCCAATGGCTGGGAACGGCGAACCGCGGCCACAGGGAACTGAGGGGCTCCGTGCCTGCAGATGCTCCAGGTAAACAAAACGACCATGTGTTAGATATTCGATTCAATGATTTCATAGAGTTTAAAATCATCACATTTGGTGTAGACCCGTTTATAAGCCGATCCCCACTCTTTGATGCGTCATTTTTTTTACCAAAAATATTCAGCTTATGAACGAGTATATACGGTAATTGTTTTCCTCGATATTAATGTCAGTGTTTTGATGATGTCTACACAGTGCCCTCTCTCTGCATTTTGTTGCAGTCTCTTACTCCTAGTTAGTTCGCAGCTCTCCCTGCGGCATGTAACCAGGCTTGAAGCAGTTCATAGATTCATAAAGGTTAAGTCCAGAAAGGATCATTATGACCACGTAGTCTGGCCCCCTGGAGTCCTCAAAAATAGTTACCACCCCAGTACATTAAAAACACCATTTACCTCCACACACGCCCAGTTACGGGGAGAGTTAAACCTCATTCATCAGCTCTTGCACGTGGACCTCTGCACGCCTGTCTGGCCGCTCAGGCTAGAGCACAGGTAGCAGCAGCCTTGTTGGACCATTTCCAAATGATTTGTTGCTAGTGTGGTTCAACACTTCCTTTGCAGTCCAATAGCCCAGACTGTAAAATCCTCCAGCACCAAGCAAGGATGCTGCACACATACAGAATACCTAGTTGGTAACCCTCACACTGAATCAGCAGCTCTTCCTCCCTCCCTCCCGTCTCCCGCTGCATTTGGCTGAAGTTGCACGGCAGGGTGAGTTGGGAAGAGCCTGTGTAAGGGTATTGCAGTTCAAAGTCTGTGTGGTGCAGTGGGGGAAGGAAGTGGGGAATAACTCACATTCCTCCACTGGGCACCGGTTTCAAGCATCCACCGAGGTATTCCTCACCTGGCAGAGACTGGCTTTCAACTACAGATCAAGCAGTATTGTGTTGGGATCCAAGGGGGACTTTAAAGTGGTCGCTTAAGAAACAGGGGTGGTTCCTTCATTTGGGCTTTGCCTACTTTCCTGTATTAGAAGCTCTTTAACTAAACTACCTTAAGCACCACTCAGCACACAACCATAACATTGTGTTAGCCGGTTTGTTAACCCTAGCCTGGACGAGTTAGCCACCCCCAGATGATGGGTGAAAGGTGTGTCCTTGCTTATACTGAGGGCCAGCTCTCTAGCTGCTGTGAATGGCTGCAGTGCCGTTGGAACTAGTGGGGCCAGATTCCCAGCAGGCATATGTCTGTCCAACTCCATTGGAGTTGATGGTGCGACTCCATTTTACACCAGCTGACAATGGGGCCCAATGCTGTGGTTGTGAACGCATGTTCCTGTCACTTCCCAGGACAGACAAGACCTTAAAGGGACCCTCTGTGCAGGTTTCCTTGTCATTACTAGACGGCAGTTGCAAAACGTGCCTCCCAAACCAGGCTGCTCTGACTCTCAACTATTCTGTGTAAGTTCTTCCCACTGCTCCAGAATTCGCTGTTAACTCTGCTCCTTGTCTCCTCCTATGTCCCCATCCCCACCCCGACGTGTTAGGTTCTCAGCTGCCCTGTTTCCATGGCTCCAGTACCATCCGCAACCTGAAGGAGCGTTTCCACATGAACATGACGGAGGAGCAGCTGCAGATGCTCATTGAACAGATGGTGGACGGCAGCATGCGGTCAATCACCACCAAGCTCTATGATGGCTTCCAGTACCTCACCAACGGCATCATGTGACAGCTGCGCCCTTGCCACCGACTCAAGGATGGCTTTTGCCGCAGCCACAGTGCCCAGCTGGAGACCTGCCACCTGGCCGAGGGAAAAGGTCTTGCCCCGTGTGGTGAAGGGAGCTGAGCAGTAGCACCTCCCGGGTGCCAGGTTTAACAGACTCGCAAGCCACCACCAACAAAAAACAGTGTTCAGAGGAACAAAATCCACGTGTGAAATTGACTAAAAACAAAAAGAATCATGTGACAACCATTGCGATCACGTTTAATGTGACCGCGGGGTCCAGGCGTTGGTGAGACAAAGCCATCAGCGCTCTGTGGACAACAGAGCATCTGCTAGACACCAGAACCATGTGTACATCAGTTCCTCCCACCTTTATTTCAGTATTATGCCTGTTGATGTCCTGTGAACTCTTCCACAATCTCATAATCGTTTAGGGCCTGGGGTGGAGGGGGCCAAAACCATCCTTCTCCCTGAGTCTGGAATTTGCTGATATTTTGAGCCTTCTGCTAGCACCACTTGAATGCAGTTGAGGTGAATCCCCATCAGCCCCCAACCCTGCATGTTCCTGTACAGCGTTCTCAGCATTATTTGACTCTCCTGATGTTGATTTGGCTTTTTTCACCCTTTGCACATTTTAATGTAAGTTTAAGTTGCAAGTTAGACAACAAACGTGTCTTGAGATCATAGGTCACTAGACACAACCCATGTAGCACAGTCTTAACCTTCTGGAGCATAGGGTTATTAGGACTTAGATCTTTTTGTTTCGTTTCATCCACGTCTCTCATAGTCTGGCCATGCAACGGCATGCCCGTCTGTCTGTCTTTGGGCACCTTTTTGACTTTGTTCCACAAATCTGGGGCTGTGAAGCTTTCCCCTGCAATAATATCAGAATTCATACTTCATGGGTTTGTGCCACACTGAATGTCTTGTCCTTGGCTGATGATCCTGGTGATGCAGTAGCCTGGCCCTGAACTCGCACCGCCTTGAACTCAGCAGCGGGGCTGCAAGTTGCTTTGTGTGTGATATCCGCACAAGGGTTACATTTCCGTGGATGATGAGTTTTTACATCTACCTGGATCGGACCTCTATATGCAGAATGTTCCCCTGGAGGTTATAACCTGTCCCATCCCTCCTCGGTGGCGTACTTTGGCCTGAGCCAAGTTTCATGGCTCCCAGGGAGTGAGGCAAAATGTGGACTGATTTTGCTAGTTTTCTTCCTAGAGTAACTGAAGGCTAGTCTAAACTTATCCATCTTACCTTGCTTACACACCTAGCTAGAGTTCAGGAGACGGGTTGATTTTTAGTTTTGCAGCAAGCAGGGCATAGCTAGTGCCTTTTTTCAGTTTTAAGTAAAGAAGTGATCGTGCTAATTTTTCATCCCCAGAAACAGGTCAAAAGCAGATGCTGACAAGCACAAAGTTATTGCAAAGAACCAGTAGAACACAGCTGTGAAGTTGTAAGGCCAGGCTGTTTGGCTTATAGATCCAGGGCATGGAAATCACTCTATGCTGGGCTGATTTCATTTTTAAAGCTCCCTTTCCGCTACTGTCCAGCTGAAAACATCTGTACTTTATAAAGAGCAACAAGGTTTGATTTGTTGAAGCTTCTCCATTTCTGTGTATTAGTATAACTCTATTCAGACATAAGTCCCTTCCCTTGTCCTCTCTCCCCTCAGTGTATTCAGACTTCTTGCAGCTGCTGATCAGATGGTGGAATCCCCTACTACCTGAGTGTGTGTGATTTGTTACCTCAGTCCTGGTTCTCCCCCATTGACTCCTGTATGTGGACTCTCATGTTAATAGGTGTTTGTTTAGTGCTACTTTGCCATGTTGATTATTTAGCCTTTTTTTAACTGTATTTTAACATTATGGGATAGAGGTTTCTGGCAGGAAGAGGCAATATTTCCAAGTTTTGCAACCAGAAGTTCAAACCACTGCATATGCTCCTGCAGCCCAACAGATGAGCAGCAACCTAGGCTTCACTGTCTCCCAATTGCAATTAAAACATACAGGTCGTGGGGAGGCATAATCTTCTGTCACTTCCTGTTCTCAAAACCAGTTATTCTTGTTACCAGTTTGGAAATGGATTGGCAAAATGTAAGTTTTGGCTTTTTACTGTCCACTGAAAGAATTATGAAAGGTCTGAAACATTGACTTTGCAAGGAGTGGAGAACGCTTGGGTAGCAATATGCTGATCCTTGCAGGTGGGAATAGAAAAGGACCTAGTGCTAGTTTCATTACCAAAAAAACACTAACCTAGTTGCTTTTGTCTGTTCGTTCCATTTTTTAATTTTTCCCTTTAAGTTCCTCCTTGTAACTGCTCTTGTGACCCAGCTGTTCCCGGAACAGCCAGCAGGGGCTCGGAAAAGGGGCCGTAGATTTTAAGGAACAATCTGAATTTCTGTGGGAAAGACCCAGCCTTGCAGTGCCAGAGGGGTGGAGCTAGAAATGATAGAATTGTTTGGATGATCAGTGTGTGGGGCGGGGTGGTATCGCTCTAATATAAGGACAAAAAGTAACTATGAATGTTGGAAAAATGAGTGATACTTGTCACATGTTGTAGCTTACAAACAGATTTGCAGGCTGCTGTGTTGAATGGGGTTACACTTCTGTAATCCACTTGGCAGTGGTAATTTTAACCTCCTTCTGTAATCCACTTGGCAGTGAGGGTAGCAATTATTTGTAGGAGCAGCCCATGACATGTTGGTCATTTTGGCTACTACTGAGTTTCAGAGCAGAGAAAGGATCATTTTAAAACTTTGCAATTGCCTTGTTTTTTTGGTGGGGATCACTGGGATTTAACTTTTGGGTCAAATTTAGGCTTAGTTTACTCATTTGTATGTCACTTAGCAGCCTGTTGAATTGTCGGAAAACTGCTTTAGTGGCTAACTTCATGTTTCAGCTCCTGCCGCGACTCAAGCTTGCTTGGCCATAAAAAGCCGTGAACAGACACTTCAAATGACTCCATCTTGCTTTTTAGCTTCCCCCTCTGCATTTATCCTGACCTGGAAGTGAACTGCAACCAAGTTCCCCTTTAATGTAGCAGATGGCATACGGATGCCCAGTGATCAGATGTACTGAGCCCATAGTAGCAGCATTGCTGCAAGTGGCAAATTAGCAAGTGAAATAATGTCCCTGTATACAAATTACCCAACCAGTTGGGTGACTTCTGCAGATTGTTGCTACTTAATCTGGATGGGATCCTTTGGAATGTAGTTTTCATTTAAAATCCTCATGGAGAGTACATTTTAACAGCTAAAAGGGGATGGGCTGCATGACGGCAAGAGGAGAGGGACAAAAATAAGATCCTAATAGGCCATACTAATGGCCTCTCCTTGAGCTGAAGCGAACACCCTTTCTGACAGCTGCTGCTGGCTACACAGACTGTGTGTGAACCTTTCCATGTGTGGGGACTTTTTATTTTCCTATTCAGTAAGGATGGGCCAAACTCAGAAATAAAATATACAACCAGAACTTGATTTCTAATAAAATGTCCTTTTTTAAAAAAACAGAAAAGCTGGTGCAGAAATTGTTGATTGCGTCTCGTTAAGCCGTCAGCAATTAAGAAAAAGCTTAAAGGGGAAAGCTCTGGTGGGAAAGATTGCTTTGTGTTTCCTACGTATTCCAAGCCTGCCTCTTTCTATCACACCCCTAGGCTTGCATAAAACAGATTAAATGCATGTAGGTAGAGTTTGACCCCGAAGGATCACTGGGGGCAGATCTTGAACTTAACCGTGGGTTTCAGGACAGATCTAGTTTTTTTAACCTCCTTTGAATACTAATCCTCATTAGAGGATTTCCAAGCACTACACACAGGTGAATGAGCATTATCCTCATTTTACATGTGGGGAAACTGAGGCACCCTGATATGACTTGATGAAGGTCATGCAGTGAGTCAGTGGCAGAGCAGAAGGATGGTCTTGTGCTTAAGGTGCTGGAATTAGACTCGGGGAATGGAAATGTCTAAATATGTCCCAACCTTACCTGGTAGATTTTCTCCTGGTGGGTATTGGAGTCAGATCAGCTAGTGATGGGAATGAGATTTTACTTGAGTTAGCAGCCCTACCAAGCTAGCTCAGCTATGGCGGAGTGAGAGTTGGGTTCTGTTCCCCCTCATGCATCATTAACAGAATGGTTGACTGAGGTTGAATCGCTAACGCCTGTGCCACACCACTGGCAGTGAGACAGGGTGAGACAGGTCTCACTGAGGGAGCTTCTAACTGTCATGAGGATGCACGGGTGTCCCTGAGCTCTGCCTGCAGAACTATCGTTACCGGGGATGATGCAGGTGAAAGAATGAGCCCCACTTCCCATTTGGATCTCAAGGTGGATTGTTGAGCATGTAGGTGATGGAGTTGGAGGCATTGAGCCGGGAGCCCAGAGAGGCCTTTCGGAGAAGAACCCCACCTCAACATTCTGAGACCGGTTTGTCAGTCGCTGCAGGGCAGTTCCAGTAGGGGTGTAGACAAGGAGGCCGCGTTGTGCCAGCATGTGTCCACGGAGCTCCCAAACACCTGTCTGATGGGACTGATGAAGTCACGAATAACCTCTGCCAGCTGGAGCTCTCTGCTTTCCATAAGAGCACCCTCATCCCTACCTCCTTGAGGAAGAGACAGAGGCTCCAGGAGAGGAGACTTCCTCAGTCAGACGTGTCAGTAGCAGAGTTTGGGATCTTGACTCCCATCCTCTGACTCCCCATCCTGGGCTGCATTTGACCCTGCATTTGAAAGGCTCTGTATGCCATTCCCATGTGCCTGGCCCCCAGGCCGGGAGCTGTGAAACTGGAGGGTTTGATTAGTAGTGTGTGGGGCTGCTGCCCAGGTTCCTTCTACCAGGTACCTTCTACCTGGCAGCGGCATACTCTGCAGTTTTTAAACTGGCGTGAAGCTCAGCTCTCCAGTGGCCGAGCGGCTTCGGCTCGGTCTGCACAGAATTGGATGTGGGGAGTGGAGAATCGTAAGAAAGGGGAAGTGTTCTGGAAAGCCACTGTGCTGGACAAGCACACCAGAGTCTGAGATCAAGGCCGGAAGGGACTTGTAATAGTATGGACACTCACCCCGGGAGCTCTCCCTGTTGCCCTGCACACCCCCTGGTGGCCTGGTGCTGAGTCTCTGTCCCCCCCAATGGACTTTCAGTAAGTTCAGTGAAGTTCTTATGTAGCGAACAGAGCCCCTTCGGGGGTCTGGTTTATTTAAACAAAGGCCAATCAGCTGTGCAGCAAGTCTTCACCCCCGGCGTCCGGGGTGTGGGGAGGGAACCAATCTTAGTCTGTCGGCCCCACCCAAGTCCCTCTGTCCTGGCTCATCGCCAGGAAGGCCCCATTTGATCATCTATTAATATGGAAATTCTAATATAAATGTAATATTAGTGCAATGTAATAATGCAGTTATAAATTAGAGTATATACAATATATTGTATGTACTAGAATGATAATAAATGATGATCATGCCTATATATAAACATAATCATAGTCTATTTGCAATTCATGTAGTTATAAATCAATACAATTATCATTAATATTCAAATTCTGATTGCAGAATGCAAGATTCAGCTACCTACAGATCTTTGATCATAATCATTAACTTTCAGGTAAAATGGACAGCAGACACACCAGGTGAAACATTTTAAAATATTTCTTCTTTGAAAAATGTCATTTATTAACAGAGGAATTTCCCCCCATCTCTGGCTGTGGTGAGGGAGAAACTGATGAGTGTGGATATTTACCACTGAAAATTGAAAACTTCCAAGTTTAACTTGGCCGTCAATTTAACTTTGCCAGTGGCTCAACCAGTGATTTCCACCGACTAGCAAAGCAAAATAAGAATACCTAACTCTTAGGTATTGTTCATAAGTACATCTCAAAACACTTCAGTCTTTGAATGTACTCATCCTCGTGACACCCCTGTGAGGCAGGGCAGTGCTATTATCCGCATTGTACAGATGGGGAACTGAGGCACCAAGAGGCTAAGTGATTTACCCAAGGTCACCTGGGATGTCTGTGGCAAAGCAGGGATGTCTCCTAAGCCCTAGGTGTAAAACTGCCTTAAAGGTTCCCCAGTTGGCAGGGAGATTTCTTCAGCGTTCAGTGCTGCGCTAAAAGCCGCAACTTTAAATGCACATGCCTGCGAGAGGAGGGAATGCTCGCTGACTTTAGATGTTTGTTTAATTTAGATGTTGAAAAATCTAGACTGGAAAAGAAGACACTCCCCCCTTCTCCCCTCCCCAAGGCTGCAGAAGTTCTGAACTAGCTGATCCTGCAGCATCAGACTCGTGAACACCAGCGCACGCAAGGGGGGAAAAAAGGCCCCTTGCAGCACTGAACTAAGGGTAAGTCTACACTGCAGTGTAAGCCCAGAGTTTGCTCTCAGGCTCCAGCCTAACCCTCCTTTCTGTCTACACACAAATCACACTAAGCCAGGCCTCAGACACAAGGTCTCAGGACCCCATGGGGGTGAAGGGTCCCAGCCTGAGTCAAGCGTTGTTGTTTTGCAGTGGCGATGCAGCCCCACTGAACTCATGCTCTGGGAGGCTGCCAAAAGTATCCCACGGGCTGACTTCCTTTGTCCTCGGGAGAGTCAGGTTTTCCTGTGGTGCACCATGAACAATGCACTAGAGTGGCCACATTTTGGGAAGGAGCTAGGAGGTCTGGGATATGGGGGTTGGACTCAGGCCCACATCACACAGCGTAGATGATAGAGCCCTCTCTTGAGGCCCCAAGGTTCAACGGTTCCGAACCTGGGGTTACAAACGAGTGTAGACCCTCAATTAACAAACCCAGGGTCTGCTACCTGAGTTCTACGAACCCTGGGCTGCATTGCAGAGGGCTTGAGACCTTCGCAAGGGTCCCAGCCCAAGCCCCAACTTATACTCTGCTGTTTTATAGCCCTGCAGCCCCTGACCCTGAGTCAGCTGGGGGTGTTTTATTGCAGCATCGCCATACCCTAAGGGATGAAGTCTTGAACCCTGGGTCCCGGATTGACTCCGGCTCGGACCCTCCCACCTCGTGGAGGGGTCAGGGTGAAAATGGAAGGGGAGTTAGGCTCAAGCCTGAGTTGGCAGCTCGGGCTCGCGTTGCTGTGTAGACAGCCTCCCACCCACCTCTGGTCTATTTCCCAAGTCCGATGTTTCCAAACCCTGCAGTTCCCCTTTCTCCCAGCAGGGGCCAGGAGCGATGAGGAGGGAGCCCTCAGCTGCGCGCAGCTGCCTTTCCGCTCCAGCAGGGGGCGCCTGTGCGCGCTCCTCCCTTCCCCTCCCCCCCCGCCTTGCCCAGCCCGGGAGCGCTCCGTGCAGCCAGCCAGACTCCCGGCGTTCACCTGCCTGTACCTGCCCCCGCCCCCGCCTTCCATCTTTGCCCAGCCCGGCTCCTCTCCTGCTGCCTTCCCCCGGGAGAGGCTCTGCTCTGGGGCGCCCGCCGCCCCCGGGGACGTGCCGAGCTGCTGCAGGACAGGACAAGCCGCCCCAGAGCCGGCGCCAGCCATGGGTCCCTGCTGAGCCACCCAGGGCGGAGGTAGGACGTGGGGAAGAGTCACCGCGATCCAGCCATGGTGAGTTTCCTGCTCCCCCTGGAGACGCTTCAGTCCCTTTAAGATCCAACCCCCCGCTGCAAATCCCATAAAGGTCCCGTCCCCGGCGTTCCCCAGTTTAATTATTAGCTAATGGGACGTTTGGAGGGAGGGTGGGTTTTTTTTTGCATCTTAAATCCCCATTCCCCCCCCCCCCCCCGCCGCCGCCCCTGCGAGCAGCAGCTGCCATGAATCACCTTGCAAATGGGATAGAAAGAAGCTGGGCCAGAAGTAGCCTCTGGGGCTGCGAAGGATCCTCCTTGGCCTGATTGGGATTCCCAAGAATCCTTCGATGAAGGGAGCTGTAGCCCACGAAAGCTTTTGCTCAAATAAGTTAGTCTCTAAGGTGCTACAAGTCCTCCTTTTCTTTTTGCGGATACAGACTAAGACGGCTGCTCCTCTGAAACTTTCCTTCTCGCCTCACTCTCTCTTTCCTCCGACTTCTCTTCTCTGCCGGAACCTCTGCACCTTCTGGGAGGGTTGGTTTTGCTTTTCCGAGCTAGACTTCTTAAAAGGGCCAAATCCTTGTTGCATCGCTATAGAGCGCAGGGAGAATATTGCCAGACCCCAGCCAGCTGCCTGTGTAGTCCCCACACTTTCTCTGTCTAATCGGGGTGCTTACGGCCCTGTCTGAGTTCTGCCCTGAATATTTACGCCTTTCCCTTTGTGAAGGTTTGGGCCCTTGAGCCTGCTCTTGGATCTCTGCACTGGGTGACCCCTGAGCGCCCACCCCAGCCTGTCCAGATCCTTTTGCAGGATCGGGGCCTTACAATGGACATTTAAGCTGATGCTAGGTGTCCCGGAGGAGTTTAGACAGGAGATGGTGATGTTTTTAAGGGGTGTGTGTATGTTAAGGGGCTTGGAAGATGGGGGTGTTATTCCTGGCCAGGTTGCCCCGGGAGCCCCTGAAAGGCACCTGTTTCCCTGCTGCCTGATGGTGTAGCTAGAATTTCTGCCAGAGCGCAGGCTGGAAGGAGGGGCTCTGAGTGCCACTGACTTTACTGGAGCTCATAAAAAACACCTGGGAGCTTTTGTGTGGCGCTCAGGTGAGAGGCACTTTAGAAATGTTAGTACAGCACCTGGCGCGGTGAGTCCCAGGGCCCCTGAGCTCCTGGGAAGGAGGATGGTGTTCAGATCCCAGCTCAGGGTTCCCATAACAGGACTGTGCTAGGAGAAGGGGTTGTTTTGAACCTGATGCTTAAATGGCTTAGCCATTCCCTCCCCCTGGCATGGGCTGGGCTTTGTTTTAATGGCTGCTTTGGTTTCTGAGGGCAGTGGTGAGAGAGTGCATTACAGATGGGTTTGCAAAGGGATTTGGAGGAGTTCTTTGTGTCGAATTGGGCTGGGGTTCCCGTTGCACCGGGCATCGACCTGAATTGCAGGCCCGGGGCTGCACTGTCGGTGTTGAATAGATTTATTTTGTTTTTAAAACACCAAAAGGTGCCGTTCTGATCATCTGATCTGGCCTCCTGCGTAAAACAAGCCAGGGACTCTCCCTTCGTCCTTGTCTCCATGAGGAAATTGATGGGTGTAGCAATTCCACAAGAGCTTACATGTGAATGCTCTATTCCAGAATAATTACTCACAAAGTGGAGTAATTATTTCTGAGTACAATCACTTTTATTCTGAAATAGTTTGTCTACATGGGGGAGTTACTCTGGAATAGCTATGCCAGTCAAGTTCCCCCATGTAGACAAAAATACCCAAAGATCCCTGCATTCAGCCCATATCTGGTGGTTGAGCTACAGTCCATCTTTTGGAAAGAAATGTCCAGTCTCAGTATCAGTGACTCTAAGTGCTGGAGAATCCACCCTGTCCCTTGGGAATCTGTTGAACAGATTAATTAGCCTACCTGTTAAATGATGTTTTACTGGGTTCTTGCCTGGGTAATTTTGTAGCAAACTGGAGGATCTAAAACACAGGAGGAGCTAATTCTGCTCCTCATCAACCACGTGCACGAAAATCTGGAGTAAAACAAACCGACTGACCACATATGGGTGGTGGTGGTTATAAAGTTTTTGAGGTTTTAGGGTTACACTCAGGCTGGGTTTTTAAGCTTTTCTCCATGACCATGAGGGTGGGAAACATGTTCTTTCCTTCTAATTTTGAGCAGAGTCTCTCCTGTATTCATGTGACTCCAGCAGCTGGGGCTTGGCTAAGAGTACCAGCTAGTGAGAGGTGGCAACACTGCCGTTTCCCAGCTTTGATCCAGGAGTGTCCTGTTCCTTCAGGACACTGTCATGACAGGCCCTGGCTGCACTCCTGTGTAAGGAGGTTTCGGTCAAGCAAGCCCATCCCTGGCCCGGCCTGCTGCTCGTGGCCCTGGCTCCAGGAGCCAGACCCCTCAGAGCTGCACAGTTTTCAAACCTTCCCCTAAGGTGCTTGGACTTATTGCAGAGCCTGCGTAGACGGCGGCTCTTGTGTGGTTGGTGTGGGCAGAGGTTTGAATTTTTGGTGGTGCTTAAAACGTTCTGTAGAGAGCATCTCTGCTGCCCGGGGGGTGTGGCTGTCCAGCCTGGGGGGAGGGGCACAGCCGCTTCTCACCCCTGGGGCAGGGGGTGGGGTGGGGTTCGGTGGACCTGCTGAGGCACTGAGGGAGGGGCATCGTGGGCACAATGCCCAGACCAGCATGGCCGGCCTCCTCTGTGATGGGGTTTTAGATCCTGGCGGTTCCTCTCTGCTGCCCCCACTTCCCATCCCCCAAATGCTGACGGGGCTGCAGTCTCTGTGCTGGTAACTTCCCTCCCTGCCCCCCCACCCCAAAGAGACTCCCCACTTGGCAGGGGGAAGCTGCGGGTTGATGGGGTGCTCGGCACTGGTTCTAGCCAGCAGCATGGGATTGGGGCAGCCCCACCCCACCTTTCAGGGCCAGCAAGCGCTGGTCGGGTGCGGGGGTCACTGGCTGGGGTTGGCACGGGGTCTCCATCTGCAGGCTGTGACTGGGGGGAAGCACAACCACCCTGCTCTTCCCAGGTGGTGGGGGGTCCCAGCAGGATGCTGGCTACCAGGGCCTGTGGTCATGGCTGAGACCCACTGGGGTGGATGGTGAGCATGGACCCTGCTGGCTTCAATCCTGTGTGTGGAACAGGCTTCCCCTCCAAGCCGTCCGTGGTGCGGCTCTGCTCTGGTAGGTGGCTGCGCCCAGCGGGTCACTGGGAATCTATTAATAGAGTGTGATTAATGCGCGTGTGTGACAGTCATCTCTGCTGATTAGAGCCCGGAGTGGGGATGGGAGGGGAATGGGGATAGAGCAGGGGGCTGGGAGCCAGGACTCCTGGGTTTTTTTTCCCCAATCTGTCACTGTGACCTGAGGGGTGGGCAGTCCCTGGGCCTCGGTTTCTCTACCTGGCGTGGTGAGGCAATTTGAGAGCCTCAGACCAAGCCAGGCCCGTCAGTGATGTTGCTGGTCCCTAGCTCCTCACAGAGGAGCCTGTCTCCCTAGGGTGCCTTGGGGAAGGGGGCGGTGTGGGGAAGGGGGTCACGGGTGGCATGGGGAGGGGGTAGGTGCTGTGTGGGGCGGCGTGGGGAGAGGGTTGCGGGGTGCTGTGGTGTAAGGGGGTGGTGTGGCAGTGTGGGGAGGGGGTTGTGGGGTGCTGTGGGGGAGGGGCGTCTCTGCTAAGATCAGGGAGGGGCGTGTTTCACAGCACCACAGGATCAGGCTCCTCGCCTCCAGCCTGACCATCAATTCCTGCCCCCGCCCCCCAGCTGCACCAGGCTGGTTCATCCTTCATCCTGCTCCCTTCCCCGGTCTTTGTGCAGCCGGGGGAGCCCTGTAGGCCCCACCGGGCCGGGGCCCCTAGGGCAGGATCAGGCCTGTGGAGCCACATGCCAGCAGCCTCCCACGCCGAAATGTCTGGCCCGGGGCCGTGATTCAGCCCAGTTCCTCCTGCCGGGGCTATGCTTAGCTGCAGCCTCCCGGGCCTGATGGAGGGATCCCCCCCATCCTCCCGGCTGGGCCCTTTGGGGGCAGCCCTGGCCCCCTGTTAGCCGGGGGGCGGGTGTGGCAGAGCTGGCTGGGTCTGGCACTGTGTTTGTGGGGACGCCGCGCCGTGTGCTGGAGGAGCTGGGAGCAGCGTGGGGGGGGGGCGGGTGTGTGTGGGCACGCCCGTGCATTGGAAGGGGCAGGAGCATGTGTCTGCTAGGGGGGGCACTGGGGTCATGCCTGCTGGGAGTGGGGGTGTGCATGTATAATGGGAGGATGGGAATGTGGGTGGGTGCCCTGAGGGGGCACTCAGGGGGCCAGATCTTGCCCTAAACCCCTCCACCCCCATGCACAGCGAACTGATGGGTCTGGGTGGGGCCATTATTACATACATGAGCTGGGGCAAACCTTGGCCTGGTAGCAGAGGCCTGGCTTTCAGCCCCCCCCCGGCCGAGATGACGTGCTGTACCCCAGAGCTGCCAAGATCCTGGCTCGGGCAGTGCCCGGCCATGCGGGGATAACGCTGCCCATAGCGAGCCCAGTGCCTCAAACAATGGATGCGTTTGTCCCGGCCCCCGGTTCCTCGCTCTCACGCTGCCCTTGCTGGCTAGCGGGGGCAGCTCCGTCTCCGTGAGCCAGGCGTGAATTGCCATGGCTAGTCCTGTGCCAGTGAAATCCCGCTGCTCTTCCAAAGCCTGCCTGGTTCCCCCTCCGCCAGCCCCACCACCGGGGCACCCTTTGCACGTCCCTGCCTGCAGCGGGGCGAGCGCGTCCCGTGACGTCGAGCGTGTCAGGTTCGGAAAGGGAGCGGGACGTGACTGTCACAAACGGCCACGTGGCTTGTGACGTGGATTATGGTAGCATGTGAATGTCCGGATTGAGACTGGGGGACTCCTCATTGGGCCGGGCCCTGCGCAGACCCTAAGTGAGATCGGGCTCCCCCCTGTCGGGCCGGGCCCTGCGCAGACCCTAAGTGAGATCGGGCCCCCCGTGTCGGGCCGGGCCCTGCGCAGACCCTAAGTGAGATCGGGCTCCCCCGTGTCGGGCCGGGCCCTGCGCA